CCCAGTGCACGGCTCTCTTGTTCTCTGCCTCTGGGTCTGCACGCAGAGATCCTATCTGCACACACCAATAAATAACCCTTTTGGAGAGCAGTTAGAATAAAGCTCAGTGCCTGACCTGCCTTTTCTTTTGCATCCCATTACTTGAATGGCTGAGACAGATCCAAAAGTCCCCTGGGTCAACGAATTGAACCCCATCAACTTCAGCAAGCGGAGGACGAGGCTTAAGGCTGACACCAAGCAAAAAGTTGGCTGAAAATCCAGGGTGGTCAAGGATATCCTCCTGGGGCAGACACAGCACTGAGCTGCCCATGCCAAATGAACAAGTGTGATGCCAAGCAGCAAGCAAGCGAGGGGAGATACTGCAGGACCTGGTTTCAGCACAGACACCATCTGTTTCCTATTTGGCCCAAGCACGATGGAACTGGTTGTGTCACGCAACAATGAGAAAGTATTTCAGAGCAAGTCCCCCTCTCCCAGCGCTGAGCAGGGACCTTTATCAGAACGAGGGAAACCGGGTCAGCTCCCAGTCTCCGTCCCTCCCCTTATCCCACTTCTACCCAGATGCCTGCTGTACTTTTAAGGAAATGCTACCCACAGTCTCACAGTCAGACAGACAAAATCCAGCCTGAGAGGTATAATATAACAGCATAGGCCAACTGGTGCAGTCAGACAGCGTTCAGAAGGATGCAGGTTTACCCATCTTGGGTGTTGCGGACTGCCAGCTCCAAGAAACAGGGATTGCATGGAAATCTAGGAGGCTGAGATCTGAATTAAGCATGAAGAAGGCTGAGCTCCAAACTCTTCGATGGTTTTTGGAAAGGGGTTAGCCCAGGGGGTATTTACTCTGTAAGCAAATGTGATGGTGGTTCCTGTAGCTCTGCATGAGCTCATGCCACAGCTTCGAACAATAAATAGTGTGAAACACACCAAAACAAAGGTTTGCAGAGGCTGCAAAGCTTCTCATGTATTTAGCCATGACCTCCACTGGCTGCTATATGCCAGCACGGTGATGGGTAGCTGAACTGACTCACTGTAACACCTGCGTAAGTATTTCCGATGGCAGAGAGAGAGACCTGTTTGACATGCTTTTTTGACTGAGGGGTGGGGAGAGAATTGGAAATCTTTGGAAATGTTTGCTTTTCCTCAGACGCAAGGGCATGCTGCCATTCTGTGCCTTGTTCTGCCCGCTGCAAAATGGGGCAACGTACCTTTGTCAAGTGCTTGGAGAACCACAATGGAAAAATACTTAGTAGCTGCTAACCAGGGATTTGGTCCAGCTCCATCTCATTAAAAGCACTCAGAGGAATGCTGTTGCTTTGCCAGTCCAGCTCTCCGTCCCTTCTGCTTGTGAGCCATGAGACGAGAGCAGTCCCACAAAGAAAGGAAAAGGCCATTCACCCAAACATCCATCAGTAACAATTTCATTAGTGGAAGACTTTTTCCACTGCAGCTCAAGAGGCAGCTTTTCCAAAACCTGTCAGTGAGGAAATCTTCAGAATTAGTTATATTTGTCGGGACTTCTTTCATGTAGTTGCATGGATTTGGAGTTCAGCTAGGGCAGTGACGGACTGGGAAAAGACACGAACTCTAATCCAGTTCCTCCTTTGCATATTCATATTGGCAAACAAAAAAGCTACTAGTTGCTTTTTAGCAGTTTACAATATCTGGAGTTTATTTCTCTGCACGTGGGGCTCAGTGAAGGAGGTGACTATGTAGGCCAGCACGCTGAATATGCCGATGATTTTAATTTCTGTGCATGGACAGTACATACAGGGGATCCTTTTCTAGTAGCCTGTAAAGTGCCTTACATACCTCAATAGCATTGTGAGGATGAGGAACATCTGAATGCCTTTTGAGTTACTGATTTCACCGAGGCAGGAAAAGAAAAATGCAAGATGAATATCAGATGTTTGTGACAAAGGATCTGAGATTGAAGAAAAACAAGATGTAAAATCAGAGCAAACAGCCAGTGCCTCAGAATTACAATAAAACACAAATGCATATGCAACTCAGAATACTCTGGGGCATGCTAAGGGATGGGACGGGTGACACTGTCTTCTCCCCTGGCTCAGCTGTATGTATGAACACAGGTACACAAGCTCATGGTGCACTAGAGGAGCAACAAAGTCTTTATTTCTCGGTTTACACTGGTGTCCTGCTTCCGCAGTGCTCCTCTTGACAACATCTGCAAAGAGAAATCTGGGAGCCGATCCAGACATCTGTTCATTTCAGTTTGTTTTTGTAATTAAAGAGTGAAACAAACAAACAGAGAGGATCAGATGGTGAGAATATTAGAAAATCATTAGAAAGTGGGCCAGTGTTCTGCATCCTCCCCGTGTATCTTTCTCAGGTGCCAGTCTTTGCAGCTCCACTATCTTCAGCCAGTCTTGGGTCCGGTTTTTGCTGTTATTCAATGACAGCATGCTTGGTGCAAAATGCGAAGAGACAAGACTCTCCCCTAGAAGTTTGCAGGCTCAACCAGACCCTGACAAAATAATGTGAACATGTGTGCTACTTTGGCTGTCACTGGAGTTCAGTGCAGGATGAGGTAATCTGGTCATTCCTGAAAGGTCCAGTTCAGGACATCCAGTTGCTGCTGGAGATGGCCTAAGTGCAAAAGTGGACAGAAGTCAGCATTGCTCCTCTTTGCCCAGCAGTTCTTTGTCACAAACCAAAGAACTGGTGGTCTGACCCCAGGCTTTATGGTTGAGCACCGGCCATTTCAATGGACAATTCAACTACTTGGGCTTGAATGGCTCCCTAAACAGAATAAATTGCCAATTGATTATAAATATCCTTCCAAATTCAAGGACATTCAAAACTATCTTTTGCTTTCACACAACTTCCATAGTCTAGATGAGAGGCTAGAAGAAACTAGAGCAACCACCAGACTACAGGCCAACAGACCTAAGCTCCATCACGATGGCAAAGTCACTCCTCCAAGAATTTCCAGAGGGAACTTCACACTAAGTCTTCTAAATTCTCAGTCCTAAACTCTGTTTTTGCCCAATAAATGTTCTACTTTGCGCTCACCTGGTTTGAATAAACCATACAGAGTAACCATGACAAGACTGTAGCATTCCACAAGGATTCTTGATCTTGAATGTTGACCATTTACCAAACATACTTCATTCCCAGTCCTCTCCAAAGTGAGAAAATGCAGGAAAGCGCCCATGCTTTGGTCACTTAGTCCTCCACAGAAGCTTGCCTGGCCAAACAGCAGGAAAGTGGCTTTGCAGAGGACTTGGGGGTCTATGTGGAAGCCAAGTTGCACATAAACCAGCAATAATGCATCCTTGTGAGAAAGAAGACCAACAGCCTGCCAGGTTGCTGTAGGAGGAGCACTGCCAGCAAGCTGAGGGAGGTGACCCTTTCCCTCTGCTCAGCACTGGTGAGAGACATCAGCAGTGCTGTATCCAGCCAATGCACAGAGACTTTGGAATCTCTTCTCCTAAATCTCAGTTCCCCAGCTCTTTATTCCAGAGAGCTGAAAGCCTTCTGCTTTTGACAGATGTTGTGGACTTCAAGAGCTTGAGAGTTATGGCCAGCAGAGATTTGTAGTTCATTAGCTCAGCAAGCAAGCTTTTGGTGGCTAGGCAGAAAAAGGCTTTGGCACTTGTCAGGCAGGCTCAGAGTTGCTGTGATGCTCTCTGGACACAGTCAGGACTGTCCCTGCAAAACATTTGCTTTTGGCCAGCAGGAACTCTCCTGAGGATTCACTTTTCACCAGAAGGCTTCTGACCTAAGTAGCTTCCTCCTCCGTTTTCTACATGGCCACCAATAGCTTGGAGCATCTCACAGGCAATGGGATACATTCAGTCCATCTTCCCGATTCCCATAAGCAGCAAAAAGGATTAGTGCAGGAAGAAAGGTGGCTGCCAGAGGATGAGGCATCCTTCGGGGAGCTGGATATCCAGACCCCATTGGCAATTCAAGCCTTCTTCATTGAGACATGCAGTCCAAGCACACTGCAGTTCCTGTGAGCACTGGAAGGTGTTTTTGCAGCTCCTCGTCTCCTAGCCCTTCCGCACTTGGCTCTTTGGTAGCAGGGATTTCAAATTCTCATAACTCAAGTCTTTCAGCATCATTCTCTGCTGATTCAAGCTGATTTTTTTAACCTCAAAGTCCTGCTCAGCTGCTTTGAGATATTCCAGACAACTTTCAACCATTTATTTTTATTGAAACCAGCCAAGTTTCTGTATATGTTGGGCTTTTTTTTATCTTTTTAATATACAAATCAGTTTAAAATAGTGTGTAAGTCAGGAATGATTTGCAAATTAAACTGTCAAACTCTGGCAGGAGTAGTGGCTGACGCCCTTGGTTTGAAATCTCCCGGCTGCTGTTGCTGTGAGTGCAGATCTCTAGAAGATGCCACACAACTTGCTTCTGCTTTCCGGGAAAATTCAGCTGTCTTTTGATTTTAGGGAAGTCTTACAGTTCCTGAAAATGCTGCTGCATGTAACTTGCTAATGGGATCACCTGGCCAAGGGAACGGATGTGATATTTTAGGAGTCGGATGCTGGGGCTATGGTTGTGCCAATAGGTTGGGCAAATGTCTTCTGGCTGCCAGCACTATCCTGCTCCCATGATAGGGCAGGAAGAGCCTTTAGTCAGGAAGAAGTTGCTCCAATGGAAGAAGGACTTAAAAGAATAAGCACCATGTTCAGCAAAGAAGACTTAGCAGGAGCAGGAGGCCTGACCCTCCCTGTCACAGCCTGTGCCCTCCATGAGCATCAATGCACCCTGCTTGGACTCAGCAACCCTGACTATTTCTCTGGGCCGTTTGACACGTGGCTGGCTCAAACATGACCATTTTTGGTAGTTATTGGTAATTATTGGTAATCCCATATTGACAGATGAGACACTCAGAGAGAACAGCAATATATGTAACTACTGAAGATGTACAAATGTGTTGTTCAAGATGTTCTTGGGTGACAGTATTTTGAGCCCTATGGAATGCCCACATAATCACCAATACACCTCTGTTTCTTTTCTTCCAGATCGCTGGGAAGTCAGTGACCATGTCGACCTTCACCACCCAACTACCAGCTGTTGACTCTGTCAACTCCACCCAGCAACCCAATTCCAGCATCTACTTGTTCTCCAAGTTCATCCACCCCGACAAAGAACTGTACATAGAATTCTATACCCTGTGGATTGCCTTGATGGTAGTCAATGCCGTCATCTTCCTGGTGGGTGTTGTGCTGAACAGCTTGGCACTGTACGTCTTCTGCTTCCGTACCAAGACAAAAACCACCTCTGTTATTTACACCATCAACTTGATTGTTACGGATCTTTTGGTGGGCTTTTCCTTGCCTGTCCGGATCATCATGTTCTATAGTGCAGGGGACTGCCTGAATTGTTCCTTGGTTCACATCTTTGGCTACTTTGTCAACATGTACTGCAGCATCCTCTTCTTGACGTGCATCTGCGTTGACCGCTATCTGGCAATTGTACAGGTGGAGGCCTCACGTAAATGGAGGAACCCCACCTGTGCCAAGGGGATCTGCGTCTTCATTTGGATCTTTGCCACTGTGGTGACTTTCTCCATCCTGACCATGGCAATACAGTTTGCTGCATGCTGCCTCTCCAAGATCCTGGTCCTGATGGTTTGTGAGTACTTCTTCCCCCTCATCATAATCATCTTCTTCACCACCAGGATTATGTGTGCTCTGTCCAAGCCCAGCCTCATGCACCAGAGTCGGGAGAGGAGGATGAGGGCTGTGCAACTCCTTATCACCGTCCTCATCATCTTCATGATCTGTTTCACTCCTTTTCACGTGCGACAGGTAGCAATCTCCATCAACCCAGACATGCCCCACGATGTTAGCCTCCTCGTCTACCATGTGACAGTGACTCTGAGTAGCCTCAACAGCTGCATGGACCCCATTGTCTACTGCTTTGTCACCAATAACTTTCAGTCAACCATGAAAAACATCTTCAGGAAAACCGAGCCAGAGCAAACCAGTGTGGACATCCTGGGTATGAACAAGAACTCCAAGGGCTCCAATGCAATCATCGCCTTCTCAAACACAATAGGAAGCCCTGTGAGTTTACCATCACCAAGCAGTGTCCAGATATAACCCACATCTGATGGGACACACTGCAGTAAGCCAGTGTAATGATGCTGGAATATTTCTAGGATGCACGGTACTATTGTCTTTGACCTCTTTGGTTTTTAGGCTGACGTTCAGAATGACAGTGGTGGAATTTATTCCTCAGAACATTGTGGTCTGTTTGGGAAATGGAACTTGCAGTGCTGTTAGAACCAATAGAAAAGAGAGTCTATTAATTACTGTTCCCAACAGGAAAGTTTTCTTTGTATTTTAATACAGACATTTTGCTAGCAACAAATTCTTTACTGTGGTTTTCTTTTTGTGTTTGACATCGCAATGAGACACTCCTAAGATGACTTGGAAAGCCAGAAATCTCTATTTTCTATGAAAGCTTTTGGGCCTTGGGCATGTGTGTAGGAGTGAAGGATAAGAGGGATATTTCCAGAGCTATCCATTACAAAGATTTTAGATGCCAATGGAGTGGGAAACAAAAGTATTCCAACCCACCTGTCACTAGCAACTACTCATTTGTTTCTGAAAAAGTCTGAACCTTCTCAGGGAGGAGAAAATAAAGTCAAGCAATAAAGTCTCCTCTCACTATTTCAGCTATAATACAAAAATACCAGTGAGTGTATATGTTTTCACACACATCGCCTGGGCTTGGGGAGAGGTTAAGGATATATTCCACCTTCGTTTGGATCGCTAAACCCACTAAACTGCAGATGAGCGTACAAAAAAGATGTGAAAATGAACATGCTTTCCAGAAAACTCTGCTGTTCTGCTCTGTCTCCCTGAAGAACAGAAAAGATGAAAAGCAGAACCAGACTATGATGCTATACTACTCTTGTTTGATTTTTCTTCCTGATACGTTGCAAAAACAGGGCTTGCTGTCTTCATTCCCACTATCAGTCCATCCACTTAGTCACTTAAATGCTGATGCTTCCAAGGACAGAAAAAGAATCCATCTCAGGCATTCAGGTTGAAATTCACTCCAGTATAAAGTCTATTGCCCCTCCATCTGGAAGGCTGCTGTGAATGGTTTCATCAAGCAGTGATGAAACTAGGATTCACTAGGATCAAGCCTAGTGAATGTTTTTTCCTGGCACTCACTGGTGTGACTTATGGTCAGTCCAAGCTGGGGCATCCTAGAGTACTCTGTTTCCCCGGAGTCATGGGACAGCCATCTCCATTTCACAGGAACACAATATAACTAATGCTTCGAAGTGCCTCTTGCAATTGGTTTTGCAAGAGTTTGCCCTTTGCAACACATACATGTTTCCCTAACCTGTTTCCCTGACCAATTCAATGGTAATAAAAATTGAACAGTCAACATCAACTGCATCTCTGGATCTATCCAGAGATGAGTATAGTTGTCCCTAGGAGCACTTGGCGTCCCAGTTCCTGTTCCAGGCAGTAAAGCCCGTGGAGAGCGATTCAGCTTGTGGAAGCAGAGATGTCCCAGCTGAGTGACCCTGGTCTCCACATTGCCTAGATCTCCAGGGATACAACAGGACATCACCTGCACATGGTGATACTTTAATGCATGCATCTTAATCCAGCACCAAAGGCCCCTAAGGGAAGGACTCAGTTGTCAATAGGCCAGTGCCTAGTGCCATGGTAGGCATGATGGGGTGTCACCGCACCTCTAGCTCCTGCCACACAAAATTGCATTTTTCCTGCAAGTCCTGCACTGTCCTGATCGTTCTACCCTCAGGTATCCCATAGCATTCACTTCTGCTTGGGCAGTTAAATCCTCTGCCTGAAATAAAATTATGTATCTGGAATCTGTAAATAGGCAGTGTTCAGTTGGCTAGTGCAGGGACCTGCAGGTCTCATCCAGAACATCAGCATGATGCAGTCAGCTGCAGTTGGTCCATTAACTCAAGCTCTTGAACATCCTGGAGCACAGCGATTGCCGTTGCTAGGTATGTGACCTCTTTGAGGCTTTCCCAAGCAATACAACTGACTCAGTGCCCTTTTGCTTTCCTTTCTATTCCTTGGAAGAGAATTTTCCTACCAAGAGATTGTGATGAGGGCCACCAACACTGTGGCACTACCCCACGGGATGTACGACTGTTGTCCTCGTCATTGTTTCCCATTCTAGTCATGGCCATGAACATGGTGAGCCTTCCCAGGGCACTGTGTTTTACTTCTGCCTCATCTATTTCCTTATTCATCTGTAAATCATTCACACAACACTAAATCACAGCCGACGCCACCTTCTTGGAAGCTTTCTGTTAAATGATGCATCAGCACACACGGCTTAGGCTCTGACTTCTCAGTCAGGCTGGCCACTTCACATTTCTGCCACCATTTTCCACCAGCCTCACATTTGGAGAAAATATTTTTGTGCCTCAAAGGTCTGCACTTGCCTGCAAACCCCAAAAACTCATGCTCACCAACCCACAACACACTCAGACCTTTCTGTGCCATTTAAGCTATTTGTAATGAAAATGTGCGTCACTATACAGAGCTGTTAACAGAACTGTCTTTTGCCAAAACTTCTTCAGAGGAACAGGAGGAAAAGTGCAGGCTCAGTGCATAGCTTATTTTAGTTTCTTTGTTCCAACAAGCTACAGCTTCACACCTCCCTTTCTTTTGCTATCGACAGTATTTTTGCCATATACAGAAATGTCTTAACGTCTTTCTCAGTGCGGTTGCTCGTTTGAGGTCAGTATAAAATCTCTAAGATTATTAGCTTAGATTTTTAAGTTCCTTAACAGGGTATCAGTTGAAGCTCTGTCTTTCTGCTGTAAACTTAACTTGTAGTAGTCTGAATTCCTTTTACTGTCAGTATATTATTCACTTTCCATAAAGGCCACCTGAGACTGAATAATTCTCTTTATTTGATAATGTCTATTGCCTTATCCAGAGCTTTCAGTTGTCCTTCTTTATTTTATACCAGCTCCAAAGCAGGGTCTGGTTCCTTATCAAGGGCACAGTCTCCAAAAATTGGAAAGAGGCTAAATATTCACAAAATAGCCTATTTTTTCAGTGACTTTTTCTGCTCTCTGTTTAAACCATATTGTTTACACATTTTGCTTTTTCTCAGGGTGCAGCACTTGCTAAACTTCTGACCTATTTAAAATCATCTATTTCTGCTCAGAGCACAATGTTGAAAATCAGTACCGAAAACTCAGCTATCGTCAGAGTTACTCTCCGAAATGGCACAGTTTTGGTGGGCACCTTCCACCCGCCGGTTCTCATTGCTGCTGAAGTCTTCCTCAGTTCTCTATGTTTCTGGAGATCAGGGTGAGGTCTCTTACCTCTTGATCTGCTCAAGGTATCTCCTTGGGTTGCCTCTTAGTGATCACTAACAAGGATTGCAATGATCCTGATCCTACCCCAACCTATCCTTTCTCTGATAAGAACAGCACAACCTAAGCCACACGTGACACAACAGAGAAGCCTCCAAGGGCAATGTGAGCAACTCCATGCATCATTAAACACACACAGAGACTGCTAAGGTAAAGCACATCCAAGTCAGTTCTGCAGGGCAGTCTTTTATGCAAAGTATTTAAAGATTTAGATGCCATATTCCCAATGGTTTCAAACTAAATCAGGCACTTAACAGCCTTTGAGGATCTGGATCATTACCCAGAGGGTGAAATAGTAATAGGGATGGATGGACATTGCATATCATACTACCACCACCAAGTCTGTGGTAGACAGAATATAGCATTCCCTGAAGAGCTTAACAGCAATAAAGAGCTCTGTTAAAAGCCCTGACCTTTCAGGGGAATTACAGCATTCCTTCCTCTTTCATGTGCTGTGGTTCTCTTGCGCATCTAAAATCCTATAAAGTGAATTAGAAATATCCTTTTCTACCAGCTGCCCAGAGGCTATCAAAAAAAAAAAAAAGACCATGAAAAATCTAACATGTTTCTTGGGATCTCAGCCATTCTTGTGACAAGAGATCTCTGCTAATCATGAGCTCACCTTCCTGAGTCACATCACGCAAATGTCTGTAGTCTTCTGGCATGCCACAAGACAGATATCCAGGAATACAGTTTAGCCTTTCTCTCCCTGCTGTGAGTCTCTCTTGTGTTGCATCCAGCACAGCCCATGTTTGAAAGCACTGCTGTCTTTGCAAGACATTTCCTATTAATCCCAGAAACCTGTAGCGAGGCAGAGGTGCAGAAGAGTCAGCCCTCAGTCATGCTGCAAACATATCTGGGCCCAGCAAAGCTGAAAATCTCCAAATCTGCACCAGAAAAGGAGTCCAGGACTCCACACATGGGGTTATCTGCTAGACTAGCTTCCTTCTGGGCTCTGTGCAAGCTCTGCCCTCCTCCACAACTGCCTTGGCAACTGCAAAGAGGAAGCAGCACGTCTCTGAGGAAAGGCACTTTCTTCCTTCCTCGTCCCTCTGGGTTTTGCTGTCCCTCAGATGTGTGCACAAGAGTCTCATTAGTCAGCCTAATCAGCATTAATAAGTACTGTTAGCAGATGTAGACTCAAACTGCAGAAAGGCTGAGGAAAGTGGAATTGCCCATGTTGGGGCTATCAGCACAGGTCACCTACATTAGCACTGAAGAAACATGGGCCTGCCACCCTGCCTCCTTCCAGGTGTAAGGGCAGGAGTGGCTCTGGGAGAGGATTTGGGAGAAGGCGGCAGGTCTGATCCCCACAGCTGCTCTGGAGCAGTGGAAGATGATGAAAACATTGCAGAGGAACCAGAGCCCCAGACAAAGTAGTAACGAAGGAAGGAAAGGAGAGGGAGCCAATGGGTTAAACAATAAGTGGAGCTTCACAGAGGGGAGGGATGGTGAGAACAAGGATGAGGAAGCTAATAAAGGGGAAAGCGGCCAGGGAACACAGGGACCTGATATCCAGCAAAGGATGACACAGAAAAACAAGTGAGAGCTTGGCTTGTTTTTCTGCTTCTGGGCATCATTAGTCCCAAAACAGGAGCTCTGGGGAGGATTCCAGTGCTTGGATCAGAGCTGGAAAACTCCCATTTTAGGAAGAAAAAGTCTAAAAGCAGAGCATTTTATCCCCTTCCTATGGTGAGGCCCAGGAAAGGG